GCACGTCAGTCTCCCCCTTCAGCAGCTCCATCTGGGTGGAGGCATCGGCCACTGATGGGGTGGATAGTGCAGAGCCCCGCGCCCGAGCTGCCCCATGCCCCGCCTTTGCTCTCAGACGAGTACCCACCATTCTGCCTTGAAGGCCCTTGACCCATGCAGATGGTCACAGAACGGCGCTCGACCAGTGGAACGCGCCTCTCCTTTGAAGAGGCGCCCTTCTCGCACAAACTGACACACCATGCTCCTGATCGCCCACGCTCCCTATGGGTGCTTTTTTATAGGCAGGGGGTGGTCACCCTTGCTCTGGCAATGCCCACGCCTCGTCAGCACCTCCCTCGAGAGCTGCCAGCTCCTAGTGGGTCTCTCTGCTGTCCTGGCGTGTCCTTCCCTCAGGAAAACCGCTTGCATGCCGAGCTCTGCCGCTCCGCTGCAGGTTGGCTCGGCTCTGGAGCAGCTCCCCTCGGTGACTGACTGAGGAGAGAAAGGGGGTTGAGTGTGGCAGTTTCCCGAGTTGTAGGTGATGTCTTTTATTTTGCCTCGCATGGTGTGGACTGTGTTTCCTGCAACAGAAGGTGCAAAAAATGGAGGTGAAGCTCTGAAATGAGAATGCAAGAGGTGAAGCTGAGACAGCTGTGGTGCGAGTTTCATGCCCCAGACAATCATGGTGAGAGACTCAAGCCAGCCTAGATGGAGCTCACCAGTACAGACAGGTTCCCTCGCCTAAGCCATACCCAGACTGAAGCAGTGCATGGCAATAATCTCCTCCCTGCCATTTTCAGTGTTGGAGCAATTCTATCTGTGACAGCAGTGGTGGGAAAACAATCTGAGACTGATCTGTAGTGTCCCAATGTTAACATGGGTTTGTGTGAGCAGTCAGGCTCTGCCACTGGAGATTTATGTGCCTTTGTGTTCCTGCCACTGCTCCACGTGGCAGAGCTGATCTCATGTTAGAAACCGTGAGGAAATTTTACCAAAACAGTGTCAGAGAGATACAGTCTTGCTTATATGAGGTCTTTATGTGGACACTGCTACTAAAATGCCAACTACAGAGATTTCTAAGTTTCCTGGGGAAGCACTTGGTATAGCCAAGTGTTCGAATCTTGCTCACAAGCATC